TCATTTTGCTCCTCAGCATGGCTGCCTAAAAACGCTGCAGGATTTCTCAGACATGCATGAATGAGTCAAAGCAAGGCTTTGGGCATGTTTTTTATGCGAGTATAACATTATGACATGATATAAAACTCAAGTTCAAGTTCAAGTTTATTTATATAACGCCAAGTCACAACATACGTTGTCTCAGGGCACTGTCCATAAAAAGAATAATCTAAAGAAGAAACCAGCAGGCTGCGTTGAATCACTTCATGACATTCTCCCATCCTCAAAAAAGTTGATTTTACATGATATTGCCCCTTTAAATGTATTTATTTATTTAAAGGTTCATTCATCTATTTCTGCTTTTATTTCTAATTATGTCAATTTCGGTCCTCCATACAGCAGAACTTGGAAGGGGTAGTTCAGTGACTGAATCACGTGTGTTGGAGCAGGAAAAAATGTAAAACATGTAGGGGCTGCAGCCCTTGAGGACCATGATTGCCCACCCCTGCATTAGAGCGTGGATGGATCTTGGTACATTTGAAAACCTCTTTCAGGGTGAAGGCAATGAAGGTGCTGCACTCTTAGTACGACAAAAAAGGTCATTCCTGCTATTTCCTAAGAAAAGCACTCACAACACTCTATGCTTGTGTTAATACACCTTTCCAACATGGCATCAAAAATCAGCAATGCTCATGCCACACAATACAATCAGTGTGGATTGTTTTTAGGATCTTGTCACAATCATGATCATAGTCTAGGCATGCGACTTTAAAGTCCCAATGACCAAGCCTCATATGCACATTATCCTGTCCCCAGAACTTTGCTACAGCAGTTTTGTACAAGCTCACCTTCCCCCCCACCACCCTCCGCCCCACAAAATGTTATGCTCAATGATGCATAATATGGAGCCCACTACATTCCTAATATGTTTCTGAAGACATCACTAAGATCCTGGGGAAAAAAAAAAAAAAGATTTTCATCCAGTGTGAACAGGGTCTGACCTATCAAAGCAGACCAAAAACAAGATCACGATCCTGTACGTGCCCCTATTTAGGCTATTGAACTCTACAGCTTCTTGTGGCCTTGTGTAGAAGAAAAAAAAAATGGAGATGAGAAGATATGAAGTCATAGTAGCACCCTGAGCTTTCTGAACCACGCCTTTCGACAAAACTAAGCACGGTGCGATAGCGCAAAGGCGGAGTTCAAACTGCAGGTAATGCAACTCAACCTGTCTGCCAAGAGCAGATACAAAGGGGAAGTGAGAGACGAGAGGAAGTTTGTGAGGCAGAAGTTAACTAACCTCAGCTTGTCACCTACAAAGCACAGCTGTAACATGTGGAGGTAGTGCATTTAGTGTGCAGGATAAACAATAAAATAAAAAAAACACTTCCTTTACAGCAGAAAACTGATGGCAGACATAGATTTAGGCCAAGTTACACTGCAGAGTCTCCCTGGTATCAACAAACACAGAGGAATTTCAAGTGAAACACGTGAGCGCACCTTGTGGAATTTGCTCCCATGGTTGAAGCAAATCCTATGAAATGTCATGGAATGCATTCCTGTGGCCTTCCCCACTCAGTTACTTGGAGGCAAGCAAAAGCGTTTCTGCTCAAACAATGTGAAGGTAAACATACTCCTTTCACTTGAGCTTCAAATATGAACGAACTCTGACATTACTCAAAATGAGCCACAGATTTCAATCTTGACAAAATTCCAAACACAGTACTTTCTGATCACCGTGAAGGTGATTCAGTCGAGTTGAAGTGACATCATGGATTACCTGAGTGTTTCAGTAGTGTGTAAAATGAGGTGAGGAAATAAACCTGCATGTAATTGGTATTAATCAAACCCAGAGGTTGTGTCACTCTAGATTTTCAGACTGGAGGACAGGGCAGGAGGTTTGATTAAATCTGTGCAATTCAGAATGAAGCACACACTTTATTCAAAATATGAGCAAAAAGCAGCAATATTAAGAGGCGTAACCACAGATATAACCTCTAACCTCATATGGAGAGAGAGACTGAACACTAGCAGAGTTGAATCCTCCCCTTTGGTATTTATTTTAGCCAACAGATTCAGTTTCCATTGCTGGCCTTCTGTGTTTGGGCTAAAGTTGAGTAACAAGTGGAGCTTGCTGCATACAAGCATTCTGCTTGGGATGCATTGTGATGTAATACTTAATTTCCTCTGGGCTTTACAGTGAGTGTAGCAGAATTCTGACAGCCAGCAGGTCAAACCATGTTCCAATGATGATGAACAGGAACCGTTAAGAAAGAATGCAGTTGCAGTGCAAAGTCTGAACAGAGCACCTTTAACTCACCCGCTGTAACAAAAGTTGGGCAGTAATATAATGCATGTGTTCATTTGTCTGTCTGTTAGCAAAATATCTCATCAACCAACTTGGTAATTGATGATAAAACTTTCAGAAAACAATCACTGGATGTACATCCACAACTAATTAACTTCTGGAGTCAACTTGGTGTAGTATGGCTGCCACACCTAATCAATAATGGCAAATACAAAAATAGCTTTAGCCAGGTCAGATTCAAAGATATTGAGCTAAAATTTGGTGTGATAGTAGCTGAGATTTGTTTCCAGCACAAACCCAGAGAAATACCACACCAGGCAACATCTTTATTTAACAATTTGGCATTAATTGTGAAAAGTCACTCATGTTCCATCTGTTAACAACATATCTGAGTCACCTCCATTACATACTCTGAGTTTTATTAGATCACACAAGCTCTTGCTTAACATTTATGCAAGGCATGATGGGCTTCAGTTTGATAAATGCTAGTTTCCTTTTTAAGTCTTACACAAATTACATGTTTACACTTGCGTAATAATGAGCTCAGATTAATGTCATTTATTAAATAATTATAAATAAACATTTAAATAAAGTGTTGGGTACTGCTGGGTGGAAGAGAACACTGTTTCCCCATCACATATTTTCCGTAAGTCCAAACTCCCTCCTTATTCTTCTCATTTAAAGGTGTTTAACTTAAGTTCTTGAATACATAGCTCTAACCCCATAAATAAACTTTAAAACATTTAATACATTATGAAATTAATTTCGGCACACTTATTCCCCACAAAATGTCCTTTATTTACAAGAGTTTAGGAATAGTGGTTTTTCCAAATGACTCCTCTGGCTCGAACGCTATACATTATTTCCGGTAACAGCGCAGTGTAAATATTTACAAAAACAGAAACTGAACTGATTTAAATTCTCCACAAAAAGTTTACTTCGTGCCGAATTCAAGAAAACAGTGACCTGACTGCTAAGAATTCCACAGCTGACTCCCAAATCCTGAATTATATAGACAAAAGTTAAATAAACTTTAAATTGCGACATTTTTGAACGGTGGTTTGCGCTGGAGGGTTGGCAGATGGGGAGACTCTTTTTTGGCGTCGGGGACGAAACTGTTAAAAGGCACATGACAAACGCAGTGGAACAGTCTGCTGTGAGAAAGTGGTGAATAGAGAAAAATCGTTGTCACACCGAGTTAGGACTTGGAGGGGGGGAAATGACATAAACAAATGGATAAAAAATAAAATCACGTTTTGACCGCAGATTTCTGAACGTCTGTTACGCTGTGTACACCAGTCGAAACTCCGGATGTAAATATAAATCCTCATAAACTAGTAGTAACGCAACCGCGCGTGTGTTTGTGTGTTTTAATGGGTTTTACCAGTTGGACTGAACACATACCCTTCTTCTCCGGTGAGTCTGTGTCACATGCATCCACGGCTCAGTCTTGATGTAACCAATGCTCTTCTTTCTGCAGATCAACCGTGTTTACTACAATAACGCCTCGTCGCCCTCCTGGTCAGGTTTCGCTGCGGCTGCATTCACCTAAAGTCTCTTCTTTAAAACAAAAAAAGAAGATAAAAACAAAACGTATCCGTGCTTCCTGATCTGAGGTGATGATGATGTTTGCGAGGGGTGGGGCGGAATGCAGCTCACAAGAAATGTTCTGTGCAGCACGTTGGTGCACGTCTGTGCATAAAAACATGACTCTGCAGAGTCCAGAGAACGTTGTGTTGGGATCATTTCCCACAGGGACCCCCAGGCAGTTCGGTGTGATCCGTCAGATACTGAGGCTGTTTTATAACAGCTGTGGTAGAAGCTGGTCACCTTCAGGAAGCAGGTGTGTGAATGGGTAACAGGTAACTTATTGTTGCTCTGAATCACAGAAGAAACATGCTGTTGCAACACCAGGATAACAAATTCATGTGTTTTCTAATTTGAACTCAGATTCAGCTGTTATGCTTTAAATGGTCTTTAATGTAAAGTCAGTTCATTCATGAAAATCTGTTGACACTTTTTTTATTATTGCAATTTTGAAGCCATTTTGAAGTGGGGTTCTGTGGAAAGGTGTAAACAATATCTTACTTGTTGCAGACACAGTGGTAAGGTTTGTTTATACTTCATGCAAGACGTGCGGCTGCGGCCCAGCGATGACGTCACTGCGTGTGTCACCAACACCATTCAGTGTTTATACTGGGAAAAGGCGTGGGGGATACATTATAGTAATCCCTCCCTCTGCCCTCCCACCGCAGATGTCACGCGCTAGCTTAGCAGGTAAATAACTGCTAGTTGCTAAAAAATAAAAATAAAAAACTTGCTTGCGAGTTCAGCTTATGTGGGAGATGGATGATGAAAAACACTTCTCCTATTTTCAAATGTCCGCTGCTCGTTTCAAGGAACTTGCCCACCGGATCTTTTTTTTATTTTATTTTTATTTTTTTGCCCACTGGATCTCCCCTCACCTTCAGCACGAAGAGATGTAGTACAGCAGAGGTTCTCAAACTGGGGTCCCTGGACCCCCAGGGGTCCGTGAGAGGTATCTTGGGGGTCCTCAAAAATTTTTAGTAAAATGTTAATTTGTTTTTTATTTTTGAAAATGCATGGAGAACAATGAAATACACTCTAAAAATGAAATGTTGGCTTTACTTAACCATGTTATGTTACCTGGTTCCACTTAACTGAGTTGAGTAAATTCAAAGCAACATACTCATGTTC